GCTGGCGCTGTCGGGGAAAAAAAAAAAGGGGGGTGGAAAAAACCAGGCGATTAATTAACAGGCGGCGCCGAAAAACATTTCGACGCCCAGAAACGGCACTTCACGTAGGATCGACAGCCGGACACCCTCAAAAACAGCCCATTTGGGGGCGTTCTGGCAGCGAGAGGACCCCAAATCTGCTGAAATTCCCCCAAAAGCCGCTCAGTTTTTGCAGGAGAGGCGCTTCACCCCCGCGTGAAGGGAAGGGGCTGCGAGACGACGACGGTGGGTTTTTTTTTTCCCCCCCCGGGGATTGAAACCCCGGAGGGTGTTGACAAACAAGGGGGCTGCGGATACAGCCTTCCCCCGTTGCGCGGGGAACGGGACCTCGTCCCCGTCTAACCCGAGAAGCAGGAAAAGGAAAAAAAAAAGCTTAAAACCAGCCTTTTTAGTGAATTTAGGAAGGAAAGGGTCTGGATACGCTACGAGGTGGAGGGCGTGGCGAGCCTGCGGGACGCTGGAGGAGCGCGAAGAGGCGTTTTGGGGTGTCCCCGACCCCTCGGCACAGGCGGCCCGGCGTCGGGGAGGGTTGTTGACAGCGAGAGGGACGAGGGTGACGCGTCCCCGGCCCCGCCGGAGTCTGGCAGGAGGTGAAAGAGGCTGGCGGCGCCCGGCAGAAAGTGGCGGGGGGGAGGAAAACCAACCCCAAAACAACAACAAAACCTCGCTTGTTCTTTGTCAACCGGCCCCGGGACAACACCGGGGAGGAGGGGGGAAAAAAAAAAAAGCAGCATCGCCAATCGTTCCCGGTTCCTTTCTCCTCGGATTTCAGGATCCAGCCCCAAATCACGTCCGGCAGCAGGCAAACACGACTCAAATCCGTTTCAGAGCCCGTTAAGCGGCTTTCAACCGAAATCTGGCGTTTTCCGCCTGTTTCCTTCGCGGGAATCAGCGGAAACACTTCCCCCCCCGCCGTCCAGATCCCGTTTGGTGCCGAAAGAGGAGTTTTTTGGGGGCAAAAACCGCCTGCGGAAACTGTCGTGACTTCACGCCGTCGCCGTCCCCCACCTCCTCGTCCCTTCGATTATTGTCTTCAGGCAGAGCTTGAAAACCTCGGTGAAGGACCCCAGGAGCCGGCAGTTCTACGGATCGAGGGAAAACAACGGGATTTGCACGATTCCCCCTTCTTTCGGGGGTGCACGGGGAGGACGCCGGGACAGCCCCCCCCCCCCCAGCCTGCC